CAGGATCTCCCCCACAACCTGGGAGAGGCAAAGAGTATCCAGGTGATCCCCCACAGCCCTGGGTCTGTACCAAGGGCAGATTCCAGGCTGGAGCTTCTCAGCCCTTCTCCCAGCCCAGGAGTTGCTGTGACAACAGGCAGCTCCCACAGGCACATCCCAGAATTTGCCACGTTCTGCTTCACACCCCCAAACCTTTCCCTTCAGTTCCTGGGGGTTGTTTCCTGACCTCTGCCTGGCAGGTGAGGGATGTTCCACCACGGAAAATGGGTGGGAGAGACAGTCAGGACCTGCCACGAAAGGGGATCTGGAAAAACACCAGGGAATGAGGGTCAGGGGAGAGAGAGGATGCAGCTCAGGGTGGAAGGAGCCCAAACCAGATGGGCTTATTTTTTCCAGCTAAAATAAGCAAATGCACATTTTTCAGTGCCTCCAACCCATCCCAAACAGCTCTCTGGTCTTAATTACAGTTACCAAATATTCCTCTGCAATTTAAACCCAATCTGCAGGTTCTTCTCCCAGAATTTCCCTGGCCCAGGGGCTCAGGGTGACTCTGTGACTAACCCAAAGCAAGCACACGGTCAGAGCACGGGCACCAGTGCCAGCTGGAGCAGAAGGTTGTCCAACCATTGACAAATGACGTCCCAAAAAATTAATACTCAGATTTAATTTCATCTATTAAAAATACTCCCTGATGATATTACTGGGAAGCTGAGGCTGCCCCTGGATCCCTGGAAGTGTCCAAGGCCAGGCTGGACAGGGTTTGGAGCAACCTGGGCTGGTGGAAGGTGTCCCTGCCCATGGCAGGGGTGGGGCTGGATGGGCTTTAAGGCACCTTCCAACTCAAACCATTCTGGGATTCTTTGTTCCTTGAGAGGTTTGTTTATTCCCAGAAGCCTCAGGATCCACATTCCCTACCTGCACAGTCCCTCTGTTGCCAGGAATACACGTCAGGAAAGGTTTTTTGTAGCTTTGACTCGAAGCACTCGCTCAAAGTTCCGCCTGGGCCGTAACTCACTGCAGACAGTCAACTCCATTTACTGCCCTCCATTCCTCTTCTTTATCAAATATAACAACCTGCCTCCATCCCCATTACCAGGATATCTTACACCATCATTTTCCACAGGAACATTAAGGTTTATGTTGTTTGTCCTCAGCCCATGCATCACACACCCTTCCCACCGTTCCATCAGCCCGGTCTGGCCGGGGAGAGCTGTGGGATGGATCCCATCCCCTGGATCAGCACCTTCCCTCTGCTCTCACGAGTCACTGCCTGTATTCCAAACAGCTCAGCCCTATCCCAG